GGCTTGGGGAATTCCTGAGGCAGGTCCTAAGGAAAAAGCATTTCTAACAGTCCTTGCTGCCCTTTACTCCACCCTCATATGGGTTTTCTCAGTGGCACACGACCACGGCTTCCGTCCTCCCTATGTTGACTTTCCCATGGGTGTCTCAGTTGGAGCTGACGTACCGACCCGTTACGGTTTTGGGGTTGGACATCAGGGGCAAGATGCCCAGTCGTGATGATTCCCTTTAGGTTTTCTGAGTCTTGGCTGAGTTCCTATAGTCGCTGATCCCTTGTACATCCCAAAAGAGGACAGCCTGCCCCATCTGAAGCAAGGCAAAGGCTGATGCCTTGGGAACGTCTTCACACAACCATGACAGCACAGATTCACTTGATTTGGTGGCATTTGAGTGCCAAGATCGATGGATGGAGACCTCAAGGTAGTGTTTCGCTGTTGGCATCGTCTGCTCTCAGCAGGGAAGGTCTCTCATAGGGATGTGTGTGTGTATAAACAGGACTGGCATCTGCTGGGGGGGTTGCAGGCCTAGGTTGACAGAAATCATCCTCTTCTTATCCATCTTCCCACCTTGAGCTCCTGCCACTGCCCTCCCCTTTGCCTGGTCTGTGGCCTTCACCAGACACAGTGCCCAGGAGGGACAGGGCACCAGGGCTGTGGGATGTAGGTGGGACAGAGGTGCCAGCTCCTCCCTCCAGACTTTCCTGAGGGACAGGGCACAGCGGGGCTGATTCTGTGCCGGGGAGCAGAGCCCCTGTGATTAACCCCTTCTGGGATGGCAGGTGCCTCAAGCACTGACTGGCACTGGGGAGCAGGACAGCGACCATCTCTAACAAACCCCATAAAAGCTGCAGACAAGACTTGCTTCCTCTGCACCTTGTGCAAGTGCATAGTTTTTTTTCTAGGATTTCCTGCTTTCTATTATTGTTATTAATTCAACCATTCCTTGTTATTCCTTTACTCATTCCACTGCAGTTGCATCTCAGTCAGCTTCCACCTTGCCCACAGAGCCCATTAGCGCAGAGCCTGCATCCCCCCGCCAGATCCATGGGGAACGCAGGCTGCTCCCAGTGCTGCCCTCGCAGCACCCCATGGCACGGGCCCTCAGGCAGATCCTGCTCCCGTTTCGGTGCAAATTCCCACCGCGGTTCGGAGCTCACGCTGCCTGTCGGGTTGGAGAGCAAACACCTGGCATTTCATCTCCGTGACGGCAGGATCCTGCCAGTCATCCCGCAGCCTGGTGTCCTGCCAGCTCCCCCGATCCTCGCGTGACGCTCGCGCTTCGCTCCAACCCGAGGCGGGATGCTTGGCCCGGCCCGCGAGGAAGGGGAATTGCTCCGCATGGGAACTTCAGCCCGGTACGTGGGAAGCTGGCCCGGCTTCGCCTCCGTCACGTGGACTTCCCGTACGTCCCCGGGCTGCTGCCGACCGCGGGTTCCCCCGCGCCTGACCCCAGGGTGGTTATTTATTACTGCCGCAGGGCAGGTGGGTAAGAGGCGACTGGAACGGAGCGGGAAAGCCTCAGCCGTGTGCGCTGGTGCAGGGGGATCGTGCATGGGGGGCCTTGCTGCAAAACGCCGCTGGTGCTGACAAGGCTGGGCTGGGAACACGGAGGGGTGCAGAGCAAGATACCCTCCCGGTCGCCCCCGCGCCGACTATTCCCCTGCTCTGCACGGAGAGGGTCGCTCAGTCCCTGCCTCCCCTCTGCCTGGCAGGGAGGGATTTTGGGAGGCTCCTTCCCGGAGCTCAGGTCTGGGCAGTGGGCACTCAGCAGTGAAACTGCCAGAAATCCCGTTTGCACAAAGCGTTGTCCAAACCTGGAGCTGCCGCCTCGGTTTGAAGGCAGGCGCGTCAACTAGGGGCTTTTGCCTGAACTCAGCCAAGCGGAGACAGGGCCGTAGCAGGGTCAGGGCAGCTCTTTGCTGGGGGCTAAGGATGCTCCTTCCTTCCCCCCAGCCTGCTGTTTGCCCCAGCGCAGCACAGGGGTGGGCAGAGCAGGTCGTAGGCAGTGCCGGCCTTATCTGAGATTGCACCCGCTGTGCAGAGGGGACACAAGGAGCCTTGCAGGGGGACAGGGACAGGCAGGGAGGATAGAGAAAAGGAGCCAAATCAGCAGGGAGAGCCAGCCTGGCCAAGCCTCTGGGGTCACACAGAGCATGTCCTGGGCAGCCACACCGGGGCTCGGGAGCACGTTGCTCCATGCATGATAGTGCATCTCCAGCAGCCATCTGAGGGGCAGAACCAGGGCAGGACAGAGCGAGGATGGCTGGAGAAAAGGGACCAGTCACTGGTGATGCAGAGGAGACCCGCAGCGGTGCAACGAGAGAACCAGGCTAGGAAAAGGCTTAGGGGGAAACACGGGATCCAGCTTTCTGTCCCACATCCTGTCCATCCCGCTCTGTTTATCTTAATATCCCACCAAACCCACTGGAAAGCCACCTCAAGAAACCCCAGTGCAGTGGGGTTGCCGCATGCCTTTTTCGTTATAGTAACGCGCTGCCCGTGCGGGCACAATTTGGGGCACGTAGGGATGTTTGTGCTGCCGTGGCCAACCTTCCTCCTCCTCAGACATTCCTCATGCCCGTGGTAACATGCTCAGGAAAGCTGGCTCTGCTCGGAGAGCCAAGGAGATAAAGCATCGCCTCAGGTGATGGAGGAGGGACTCGGTGTGCTCCAGAGCTCTTGAGACATCTCCTCACACCATGAAGTTTGCGGGAGACGCAAACCGTCGTGTTGGTTAGTGGAGATCAGCCACAACCCGCTACAAGACTGGAGCGTTGGGGCCAGGCCCGGTGTCCATCCACGCTCATGCCCGGACGGAGAGGGAGCAGTAGGATGGCTCTGTGGAGCGGGAAGACGCAGGACGCATTTCGGCGTGCAGGCCGGTTCCATGGCGGCACGAGCGCGGCGTCCCCAGCTCCGCGCCGCCTTTCGGCAGGAGCGTTCGTCCCTTTTCCTGTTGCGCCGGCGGAGGGCCGGGGACAGGATGCATCTGCAGGATCCCACAACCTGCGCGGGCCAGGCTCTTTCTTTCTTCCCCTCCGTCCCTCCACTGATGGCGAGCGGCGTGTGAAGGGAGGCCGCGGCGCTTCTGCAGCCATCCCGCTCCCCTGGGCCTGACATTTTTTTCCAATAATCACCGTGCCATTTGGGGAGGATTGTACTAAAAACTCATCAGGTTTATTTTCTCAGCCTCCAGTCATGGATTTTGTAGGACACACGCACACCAGTGACTCTCTGCCGGGTGGCTCCAGGGAGCCGGGGAACTCCTGCTCCCCTCATCCCATTCCCACTACCCCCTTTCCGCCCGCTCGGCGCCACCATCCCTGCGTGCCCGGCGGCTCCGCGCGGGGCTGCGGGCCCGGAGCAGATGACGAAGACCTATTTGTTTAATTAGGCCCCGCTCTATTGTTGTTGACTCATTTTTTACGAGTGGGGGGAAGCGCCCCCGTCTCCAGGAGGGGCCCGCGGCGGCGGCACGACATGGCCGCCATGGCGGCGTGCGGCCTGCGCACCCACGGCCGGGCCGACCGCACGGCAGCGCTGCAAGGGCGGCCGCGATGAGGAAAACCCGGCCGGCACGGACAGGAAAAGGGTGATGGGGCATGAAGGATGTTGTCGGGATAGGACTATGAGCGGGGAAAAGCTCCCTGGCACGGCCATGCTGTGGCAGGGCTCGGAGACCCGCTGTTTTCCAGCCGCTGTTGTCAAGGAGAGACATGAATAAGGTGCTTCTGCTGCCAGGTCTTGTGAAGCCTGGAGAAACACCATGTCCTTGAGACCTCGCCCTCTCCAACAGATCTTTTTGAAATTGATAAATAGGTTTAAATGTTATGAGGGAAGGAGACACATGCGTAAGCACTATGCAGCTGCAGAAAAAAAAAATGTAATTCCTTAGAAATATCAAGCTACATATTTCTGCATTCTTTTCTTCCTTAGCATTTCACATCTACCTGAGTCACATTTTCACATCTCAGATTTCTTTTTTTCTATTTCTGGTTAGTTTGCTTGCGTGTTTTTGCAGTCACCGTGGCTGCTCATTTTAATTATCTCATGTCTCCAGAAGCTGGAGTTTTGAGATAAAGATCATGCAATAACGCCAGGCAGCAACACTGCTAATGAAAAACAACGGGTAGGTCCCTGAGAGCAACCCGTGCTTCGAGATGCTTTGCCCATGAGGATCCCACTTACAGCATGTCTCGCATGCTGGAGATAGAGGCACACCAGAAGTGGGACCCTCCTAGACAAAAGCAGGGAGAAGAGAAGAATGATAATGTTTTTATCTGCCTGTTTTGTGAGCCTGGATAGTTTCACTCATGGCATTCGTGTCCAGCAGCAGTGCGACAAGAAGGGGGTTGCTATTAGCCCCTAGGGTCCATTCCTCTTTGGGCGACCGTCCGTACCTAAGAGTGTCCAACAGTAGGACGCTCAGTCAACACGAGTGTCTGCTGGCTCCTGAGAGTGTCTCTGCACAAATGCAAGAGTTCCGTGTTTGTGCTACCTGAGAAGATGGATTTTTGTTATCCTGACTGCAGCAAAACTATATACATGCAGAGGAATCTCCAGCCAGACTCTCCTCTTATTGCAGATAAGATCATCTCAGAGCAGCAGTGCAAATAAGCTCAACCTGAGCCACTTGGTGAGGAATGGCCACACCTGGGCTTCCTGGTATCTAGTCTTCCACTTTTTTTTTTTTTCCTGGGTAGAAAAATGTGTGCTAGTCCATCCATCTGGCCCCCAGGGGCTGTCTGGCCCCAGCCCCACAATCTGTTGCTGAAGAGCTGCTTGCTACAGCCAGAAGGGCTGAAAATGAGTCACTTTTGTCCCAGTGAGTCAGCGTCAAACCAACTTGCAGGAGCAGACTCCTGCATAACTTTTACAAGATGTTTCCTTCAGCAGCCTTTGCCCTCCTTCGGGCCAGAGGTGTCCAAATAGCTCAGCCCACAGCAGTGGGTCCAGGCTAGCAGGTGTCTGCATCATCCCCTCTCTTCTTCCTCTCTGCAGATCTGGTGAGCAGCTATTCCATGACCCCCCCTACTCTTAGCATCACCGAGGAGGAGCACGTCATCAACTCCGGGGACACACTAAGCATCACCTGCAGGTAAGGCAAGAGCCAGGGTAGCTTTGACCAAACTGCTTTTACCTGGTAAGTGTTGAAGGACCGGGTAAGGAGAGCCCATCAGGAGAGACCTTGGCTCCAGGACAGCTGCAAATTAGCATGCCTAGCTACAAATCTACCACATTAGCTGAGCGTGAATTCGTCTAATTAATTAATTGGAAAAGAAGCTGGAAAAGTCTCTGAGGAGATGGTGATAACTGCTGCTATAGTCTTACAGGCAGAAAGAAGAGGAAGAAATACTTGTCTTAGCTGGCAGGTTGCCTGTACATTTTTAGGGGAGGTTGGTTTCTTAAGTCTCCTTGTCTTTCTCTTGCATTGTTTGTTCTCACCTCAGCAGGGGCTGCTAATGCCACAGTTCTGGTTTGTAAATTTGGCTGGTCATTGAGGAATGTGGAGAAATAGTGATGAGAGGGGGTAAGACACAGGCAGTGTTGGCTGTAAAGGGCTGAGAGGTTTTCTCAGAAGCTGGAATTTAACGCTCTGTTTCCCACAAATAGGGGGAGAGCTGGAGCCTCAGCTGGGTCTGGTCAATAACTCTGTGAAAGGAGCAGGGGAATCACCTGGGTTTTTGGAGACTGGAGGTATGAGAAGACACTGTCTAAACTGATTCCGTAAAGCCAAGTGCCTCAGCCTTGGATGCGTGCTCTGTGGTACCCCCAGTCTCAGAAAGGAAAAAAGGCAATCTGGGGAATTGACCAGTGCTTTTCTGATAACTCTAGAGTTTTCCTCCAGAATTTGAAAGCAAGTCCATGCCTAGGGTCTGAATCCCAGTATCCAGTGGGGATGGATACTGCAACAGGGGCCTCAGATGGCTATTTTTCAGCGTTGTAGATAGCCATGAAGTAACTATTGCAAACACTTGGTTGGCACTGGGTTCGTATCTTGACCTAAACCTGTTTAGTTCCAGCCTTGGATGTGTACTCTGTGGTACCCCCAGTCTCGGAAAGGAAAAAAGGCAATCTGGGGAACTGACCAATGCTTTTCTGATAAATCTAGAGTTTTCCTTGAGAATTTGAAAGCAAATCCATGCCTAGAGTCTGAATCCCAGTATCCAGTGGGGATGCATACTGCAACAGGGGCCTCAGATGGCTGTTTTTCAGCGTTGTAGATAGCCATGAAGTAACTATTGCAAACACTTGGTTGGCACTGGGTTCGTATCTTGACCTAAACCTGTTTAGTTTTCTTGGAATAGATTGCATTGCTCGTACTCTGTGAATCAATTTATAGCCAGGGAACAGGATAGAGAAAAGGTTGTTGATGGCTGTGCTGAACTGGTTTCACTTGGTCTTGGAAGCTAAGCAGTTGTGGGCTTGCTCATGTGGCGAGGAGCAATGGTGTGTGCCAGGCCCCAAGAAATGCATGAGCCAGAGAACTCTGGTCAGGCCCATAGCTGCTGCAGGGGCACAGACAAGGAGGAGGAGGGAGCTCGGGGACTCCAGTGCTCTGCTGTGGCCATTCCCTCTTCAGAGGGATGCAAGATGCTCGCTGATGAAATCTGGGTAGGAGATTCAGCAGAATTATTCAGCACAAGCTGTCCATCACACCACAACCTTTCTTAGCAGTGGCTCAGGGAGCAACATGGGAAGAGGTTCCAAGGGTATGGGAGAGGTCCGTGCTGCCTGTGCCTGCCCCGCACACGTGCTGGAGGACGGTGCAGCAGCAGCCCCTGCCCTGGGGAAGCTGCAGCAGGCAGGGAAAGGCGCCTGCTTCCCCGGACCACCTGGCAGCAATTTCCATGTTCCTGCCACAGAGTCACAGATCATCTTCCAGGCTTGCGTGGCTGGCATCCATACAGCATGCCAGCATGAACGTGGCAGAGGTGAAGGCACAACATCTTTACCCAAGACTCCCAGCTGATTTGTAGAGAGAACTTGCCAGCTAAAGAACAGCAAGGCCATCTGCAAACACCCCTACAGCCCCTGAAACCTGCTTGAGGTTGTGGTGCTCTGTCTACGTGCTGTCCACTGCTATCCCACATGTGCTTCTCTGTGCTTGTCCAGTGTCCTTCAGACCACCCACAGCTAGCCAAGTACCTCTGGAGCGTCTTCTCAGCACCTCTGGCAGGACTCAGAGGTTTCTCCTTCTCTCTCTGTGCTCTGAAGCTTGTGTTTCTCTAATGTATTGAGGAGAGGATTTTGCCCCAGAGACTCTATTACTTCATCTGAACGAAAAGCAAATCTCTTCTGGTCCCTGGATCTCTGATTACACCCAGCTGCATCTCCATCCTCTTCCCTGGACCATGGCCCACCCTGGGAAGACCTGGCTTGAGTTAATGGGAGATGAAGGGAAAAACATGCAGACCACCAAGAGAAAAGGCATAGGAGAGGTGGTGGGGCAGGGCAGAATTGACTGTGAAATGAAATCCAGAGGCTGGGACTCCTTGCTGAGCATCGTGTTGGAGGTGGCTTCAGTTCAACCCTGCTCTTCCCTTGGGAACAACGTCCTCTGGCTGCTCTTCAGGCTGCCCCGGAGCCAGTAGCGCAGGGCTGCTTGAAGCAGTGCTGCAGCAAGAAGCTGAGCCCCAAACCCCCGTGTGAGACTCCCTGGGGACCCTTTGAGCTTCTCCCCCCAAGTGTGGGACTGGCTGTGGGCTCCCTGACAGCCAGGCCGGGATCTCCCACGCCTGCAGCGCTGCAGCCCCATCCAGCCTTGTTGGCGACCGGAGCCCAGGCCAGGTCATGGGATAAGGGCTGCTTCTGGCACAGGGGAGCTGGGCGCGAGGAACAGAGAGCCAAAGACGTAGCCCAGGTGCAAGGAGCCACCCAACAGGGAGTGCTGGCTCTCTGCTCTTGCAAGTGGCTGAACATACAGGCGTGTTCCTCTGTCATCCAACATATTGAGCCCTTGAGAGGTCCAAACGGGGACTTATGTAAAGCCTTACCCAAAATAAGGATCAGACTGGGGCTGACCGGGAGCCAGAATGATGTTTTGATCAAAGCGTGCGGCAGAGCAGCGAGAGGGGGCCGATGTCCCATGGACAGTGCATCTTTCATTAGCTTCCCATCCCGAAAAGGAAGGAAGGAACGTTGTGAATCCACCTCTGCATTCATGCCCTGGCAGCCTGCGCCAGAGGGGAAGTGGGAGCTTGTGCTGTTCCGGCTCGTGAAGATTGGAGCAGAGCCCACATTAGCTGCCTGCACAACAGCAGAAACCCCTGGAGGGGAGGACGTGGTCCAGGCCCCTGCCATCCTGTCCCGCAGGTGCCAGGCACTCGGGCGAAGAGGCAAGTGACATCCAGCCGTGGCGTTTAGAAAGGAGAGGGCAGGGTTGTCCCCTGCTGCCCAGTGACTTGGTAATAGCGCTGATTTGCAGATGCTTGCAGCTGCACAAACCCTGCTCTGGCTGAAAGGAAGTGTTTGACCCTGGATCCCTCTTGGCTGCTGAGGAGGAAATGAGTGATGCAGCGGGGCTGAAAGAACTGAAGGACGAGGCAGTGTCTCCGCACGGCTGCACCGGGGCAGCGTCCAGGGACGCACTATAGTACCCGCCGCGTTTTCCTATGCCATGTGGGACTGCTCCAAACATCCTCCTGGTGCTGGGGAGGGATCTGACATATCCCAGCCAGCCATAAAGCTAGGGACAGCTCTGCCCATCATGTCATGCTTGGGAGCTTCAAAGAGGATAGAAGAAAAGTGGCGCCAATTGCCCCGTCGCCATTAAAGAGCATCCGTCCTGAAAAGCTTTAGGAAAACAGCTGTGCAGAAGCCTACGGTACATCTGTTTCCATTTGGCATCAGCAGTCTCCATTGCCCAGCAAAACACTACCACTGAGCTGAAGGAAAACAGCTTGGGAACGGATCTCCAAGGTGACAGATATGAGGAAGGGAACCGCCCAAAACTGCTGTCTGGACCTTTTCCCAAACGCAGAGGAACATGAGTTAAATCCAAGTGAACCTGGCTTTCATCCCTGCCTTCTTCTGGTCCCCTTAACACACCAATTGCACTAATATAGACTGAGCTCTCCCTTGGACACCTCCTGTGTCCCACTGGATTTGGTTGGGCGCCACATGATGCAGGGAACGCCTTCGCTTAGAGCGACCCAGGTGCTGGTCATCAGGTCTGTTTATGTTGGCCCATCTCTGAGCTATGTTTATATAAATATGTGTCACTCGGCTCCTGCTAGCCTTGATGCTTGGTAAAACAAGTGGATCTGATAATGCGTGAAAATCCCAGCGGGTAAACAAACAGAAAGCGGAAGCGCCGGAGACTTGTGCAATTACCCTGTTCCACATGGAACACCAAAAGTGCCCACACAAATGTGAGGGGCTCTGGGGGTCCCCTGTGTCTGGTTCAAGAGCAGGGCCAGCAGCCCAGGCTGCACCCTATGTAGTGGCATTGTGGGCACAGCAGGAAAGGGCACGAGTGTGATCAGTTTGGTGGTGAGATTTACTATTCCTTTCCCTGTACGTGCATGGGTTGGGAACAGCGAAAAATCCAAGAGCTCTGTTTTTCTTAAAGCGCTTGTGACAGTCTGATCCTTTGCAAAAGCCCGCTGTGACTCACGGAGACAAGCAGCCAGAGCTGCTCTTCTCGCCCTGCCGCGGGCACTGGCAGGGTTTTAAGTGCATGCAGACATCCAAGCTGGGTCGGAGGGGCCACGTGGCTGTCCCGGGGCACCCGGCACCCCTGCAGAGCCCCTGCGACCCGTGACACGGGGGCAGCAGGACGCGGAGCGTCCCAGCTCATCCGTGCGAGCTCGGCAGCGAGCTGGAGGGGAGCGAAGCCTGCAGGAAGGCAACTCGTCTGCTAAAGACAAACAAAGGGGCACGTCCTCCCCCCGCGCTTGGGCAGAAATCCTGTCCTC